ACTGCAAGTCCGTGCTTAAAAAGGGTAGTTTAGGGTTTCGAGGAGGTTGTGGGTTTGCCGACGTAGCAAGAATGTGTTGCAGGTTCCGTCAGCGAAGGGCGCTTCGTGGACTTGGTCAGAGCCACAGACCCGTCCTTCATCTTGACGGACTTCAATTGCCCCTTCCCTGACCTGGGTGCCCAGAACGCCCTCCTCCAGGACCGCTCCCAGATCAGATCCTGTTTCTTCGTTCATTGGCTGAGCCAGATCGACCTCCCGGTGGTGGACATGGAAGCGCTGTCAACGACCGGCCCAAGGCTGCGCGGGAAGTACTTCGAGTTGGAGAGACTCAGATGCTCCGCTACACCCTTCGCGTTCTTCAAGCAGCGCCTGGGGTGCTTGTTCCGGTCCACCACGGCGCTGCCAGACCCAAGGCCCTTGCTGGAAGGGTCCTTGAGACGGAGCCTGTCCCTCTTGGCCTTGAGAGAGATTTTGCCAACTTCCAAAGAGCACGGGCTTTGTGCGGTCTTCTGCACCTGCCTGGCCTTAGCGGAGACCTTGCCGCTGGAGGAACGTTGCATCCCCTCTGAGTCGTTGGCGTCCCTTCCATCCGAGCTTCAGCTCCCGCTGTTCTTGCACCGGCTGCACCTTGGCATGATCCGTGCGCTTTACGCGACGCGAGGCGGTGCTGAGTTTGATGGAACCTTGGGCGACATCTTCGATGGCCGGCTCTTCCATCATGTCACGGCTTGCTGCCTGCAGGGTGACCTGGGCAGCTTCCCAGGCGCCATGGAGTCCGCGAAGGTTCTTTGGCAGGAGCTTGGGGCGACAGACTTCCGTGAATCGCTTGAAGACTTGCGCCGGGATGTGCCATGGAAAGGGCAGGAGACAGATCCCAAACCGAGCCGTCAGAGCAATCGTCTTTCCATGGCCCCGGAGTCTCTGGAGAGGGAGCTACCCTGGCTTCCAGGCGCCCTGGGCGACATGTTTGATAGGCCTCGGCAGACGGCTTGGTCAGCTGAGAGTTCGCTCAGGGACTGCAGCCCGCATCACTTCCATAGCTGCACGCCGCTGGACGACTCCGAGCCGGATGCCTTTCTTATCAATAGAGGTGACAACATGCGGAAGCTGCTGGTGGAGAACGAGATGCGGCTTCAGGCGCTTCTGAAGTTGCTGAAGCAGGATGGTACTGTGCAGATTCCTCGGGGGCAGAAGAGGGAACGCTGGATGTTTCAGATCTCGGCCAGGGGAGTTTCCTTCAAGCTGGAAAAGTTGACAGACCCCAACCACGCCGATGCTCCGGTCAAGAGCCTGGCTCATCTCAAGGAGCTGCTGGGCACGGTGAAGGCGTTTCCCATCCTGCTGAGCTTCCGCATGACGGTCTCGGCCTTCAATTCTCAACGGAGGGCGCAGCAGAGCGCGGGGCGGAACCAGAAGTTCTTGGAGTCGTTGCTGGAGGGCAGCCCTGCGCCACGCCAGACCATCAGTGAGAAGTGGGAGAAGTCCAAGGTGCAGGAGCTGCAAGAGGCTGCGTTGGCACGTCTTGCAGGCAGTGCGGTGAAGGAGGCGCGCAAGAAGGGCAGCCCCAGTCGGACAGACAAGGCGAAGCAGCAAGCCGAGGCATCTCGACAGCAGAAGCAGTTGAAGCAAAGCTTGGAGAAGATCAACACGCTGAAGGAGCAGTTTAAGCAAGCAGATGAGGTATCGAAGTCCCGACGGGTTGCAGAGTTGCTGAAACAGTTGCAAGGTTGGTGGGCTGATGGACAGCAGGAGGCTTTCTCCGAAGCAGGCAAGCTTGGCTTGAAGACTTGTCAAGACTTGGACGAGACTTGCCCTCTAGACAGATCGCAGAAGAAGCGCAGCTTCCAGGTTTTGCAGCAGATTCTGCGAACTTGTGGCGGGCCCCAGGCCATACAAGACGGTGAGCTCCTTCCAAAGCTGCAGAAGCTCGCATTGAAACACTTGAAGATGCCAGTGCTTGCAAGCGCCTTAGGACCCGGGAAGGAGCCCAAGGACTCCAAGTCCAAGAAGGAGAGAAGAGAGAAAGGAGGCGAAGTGGGAGCCAGTTGCCCCTTCCGTTTTCAGCTGGCTACAGTGCCTGAGCATTTGGCAAGGCCGATGGGCTCAGCAGATCCTCGTGTGCAGGGTTTCAAGCCGGATGGGTGGCAGTCCACTTTGTTGGATGTCGCGGATGCTCGGCAATCAGCCCTGGTGCAGGCGCCCACGGGCTCAGGCAAGACCTTCATCGCTTTCTACGTCATGGAAAAGGCCCTCAGGACCAGTGACGAGGGCATTGTGGTCTATGTTTGTCCCACCAAGGCACTAGCCAACCAAGTCCATGCCGAGATCGAAGCTCGCTTCGAGAAGTCCTACCGGGACGGCCGGCCTTTCTGCGGCATCTTCACCCGCGACAGGCGCTCCGAGCGGCTTGCGGAGTGTCAGATACTGGTGACGGTGCCCCAGTGCTTGATCATCTACATGCTGAGCCCCACGGCGGGCATGCATGCATGGGTCCAGCGGCTGGAGTATGCCATTCTGGACGAAGTTCATTGCCTTGGTGGCGAGAACCTTGCCTGCGCTGTAGACAATTTGTCGTTCATGGCTTTGTCCTTCGCTTGTTCGTGATAGAATGAGACCGGCGTCAGATGGATTTCATGGAGGTATTGGGGAAGCATGTGCGGCCGCAGGCGTGTTACAGCGTGTTGGGAAAGAGCTGCGCGGCTGGTGGGGGTGGGCGTAGTATCGACAAGATGGTATTAGATACAAAGTGGCCACTGGCGCGCCGCGCGCCGTGTTGTGATTGTGGGACGAAGTGCTCAACTTCTGAACGGGAGAATGTTTTGGCATCTGACAAGCTACAAAGTCAGTCATCAGTGCGAAGAGTTAGTGTAGAGTGAGTTCACGGGAACCCCCCCAACTCAGCTAGCTCATCATGCGAAGCCACTTTTCACGCACTCCCCTAGAGATCAACTTTAGATTTTATAGATGCGTCATCGCCGTACAAGGCGGGGTGTCTAAAATTGGGTGATGTAGGGAAACGACCAAAAACGCTGTAGCTGCAGTAAGGGGGATGTCTAAGAAATCTAAAAGTCATGGTTCGTGCGTGTCTTTTTTTAATGCGCGCATTTTTCTGGTTACACATGTCACACATGTGTGTAAACGTGTGTAACACATGTTTAAAAAAGCCGGGTCTAAACATGTTTATTCGTGTCTAAAACTAGCATGTAGGACTACTGGCTGCATCTTCCACCGATCCGAGTGGGTAAACTGTTTCGTTTTTGGTGGCTCAGCAGTTTTCTCGAACTCAGGTTTCTTGTATTGGGGACTGGGTTTGTTCAGGCAGCAAAACTGCATGCTTGAACAACTGCGGGCCATACTGTAGTCGTGTAGTCAGCGAAAACCTGTTCAACTCTTCCTTTCAACGTTCCACTGCCTTAGATTTCAAGCTGTTTTCTGTCCATTCGTTGATTCATCTTGACAGTCCTGCCACTTTGCCTGCTCAATCAAAACGTTCTCGTCCACCAGCTCGGCGCTGGATCTTCCATCTCCGTTCCGCATTTCTGGCAGAATGGAATACATGGTCACATAAACAAGCAAACACGCTTGGCTCCACCAGTTTCCAAACAGGAAGTCATGGTCATATAAACTAGCAAACACGCTTGGCTCCACCAGTTTCCAAATAGGATGTCAAATATGGGCTTTTAGAAAGGATCCGCAACACAACACAGCTGTCACAGTTCGAAGGCACCTTCCGGTTCTGTAACGACCCTGCGGTATGTTCTGACTGTGTACAGTGTAGCACAGAACCAGCAACCATGCAGACACGGTTCGTTGGGGAAGTGGGTGCTTACAGCAAACATGCAAACAGATGTGGCAGAAACACAGCCAGCATAGCACACTCTTGTTTTCCAACCAGGATCATCCTCTTCCAAGACGCGGTTTTCGATTCTAAGGCCTGTAACGCCCCGAACCACTGCAACCGCAGCAGGATTTGGGGGTACACCGACCAGCCTTTTGAGCAGGCTTACCAAATTTGTAGGTTGGTCTGTGTACCCCCAAGTCCTGCTGCGGTTGCAATGGTTCGGGGCATTACAGGTCCTAGAACCGTAAGCCGCATCTTAAGGAGAATATGACCCACGTCGGACGAGTGTGCCGCGCTTGTGTTTGTGTAGTCGGCTTGCAACTTCTCTCACCGACCTGCTAGCCGTGTGACTCTGGTAGTCCATCGTTGCATGTGAACGGTTTGGATGGCCCAGAACAGTGTCCACACGTTTGTTGTGGGAAAACACAGCAAAGTTGGCCCTCGGTATGGGGCAGAATTTCCTGTGAGTTTCGGCCCCAGGCCTGAATATTCTGACATGTGTTGTGGCCTCTGGGACAGGGCAAAATTTCCTGACATTTGCCTTGGCCCTGTGTTTCAAACAAAACTTACCGGGACTTCCCGACGTTTTTGGACCCGGTAGGGTGCACAATTTTCTGACATGTTCTATTGGTGCGTACATCACAGTGAAGTTGGTTGCTGATGTCACCTCATGGTTGATCTTGACCTCTCACGTGTTTTGCTTTGAGTACACTTGAACGGTCTGGTAAAGCCGTTCATTTTCTCCACACTGCAACCATTTGAGACATGTTTTTGACATGTTTAATCGTGTCTAAACATGTTTATTTTGATTTCCCGTTTGATGACCATAAAAAGATTGCACTGCTGACATGCTTGTGTATTCATGTGTAAAACATGTATATTTCTGCTCGTGTTTAAAATTCGTGTTTTTTTCTAGGTGAACGTGTCTAAAAACCCTAAGATCCTTGTTTAAAGATAAGGATATGTTTAAAATCCAGTTCGTGTTTAAAATAAGTACGCGTGGCTGCGCATTTTAGACGCGAAGAAATTTAGACGGTGCGGTTATTTCCACATTCTCGCCGTCAATATTTTAGACGCGCGCTCTGATCTCTAGGGTCTCCTTAGACTTCGCCGCCAGGCAAGGTGATAGCCTGTATGAATGTCTCTGCACTCTGTGTGCATCTTCTGTAGGAACGCATGTGCGTGAGTGGGGCGCTCTTGTGCGAATCTTGCGATGCTGCTGCCTGCGGGTTGGGTGGTGGGTGAGTGGATATATAGTAACAACTTATGTGAAAAATGGGGTTGGGCCACTCTCTGCGTGAGGACTGGAGAAGTTTGGGAGCAGATTTTGTCACTTCTAACTTGCCCCATTCTGGCATTGTCTGCCACCCTGGGGCAGAGCGAGGACTTCACGTCTTGGATGCGAAAGCTGCAATCTCAGCAGCAACGAGAGCTTCATGTACTACAGCAGCTGGGTCGTTTCAACGACCTTCAGCCGTGGGTTTTTGATGGAGAGCATTTGCATCGACTTCACCCATTCTTTGCCCTTCGGCCCGCCGTTCATGCCTCCGCTCGGGAGAAAATCAGGCCCGAGAATCTCCATCTCATCCCCGAGGACACCCTGCAGCTCTATGATGTGCTCAGCTCCAAGGCTAAGGCTGACCTGCAAACCTTGGCCCCAGAGACCTACTTTGCTTCCTTGCCGCAGGGCTCATGGAACCTCAGTATGCAGGAGGTGCAGCAGTGGTCCAAGTCGCTGGGAGAAGCTTTCGACAGGGCAGTGCGCGACGTGCAGGTAGAGGTGGGGGTTTCCGAAATAATTAGGGATACCTTCTTGACGTCCTGATTGCAAAGGGGTCCTACTGGGAGGTTCATTCATGTTACTTATAAACCAATTGTAGCTGTACTTATAACTTATAACCCACTTATAAGCCCCTTTACTTTAGTACCCTAATAAGCTTATCATTACAGTTATAAGTGCAGTTATGATTGGCACGTACCATAAACCTCCAAGCACTCTTCGGGGATCTTTTTGCTTACGGGGTCCCTTTGTTTTCGTAAACTCCCAGAGGTGGTTCATGAGCTGACAACGGAGGCAGGTGCAGCCTTCGGATGCATCGAGGAGGACCTGCGGCGCAAAGGGTCACAAGAATACTTGGAGGCTCGCTTTGGTTCTTTGGCTGAGGAGCTGCAATCTGCGGACATGCTTCCAGCCATCGTTTTCCATGACAGCCGAGTTGGATGCGAACGCCTGGCCCTTGCATTGGGTGATCACTTGCGAGCAAAGGTGAAGAAGTATCGCCGAGATGAGAAGGTACAGTCCAAGATAGATGCCTTGGTCAGGCGCTTGAATCAGATTCCAGTACCCGAGGGCCGAGTTGGGAAAGATGGCGTTCTGATTCTCACACCGGAGGAGTTCGACGACGTGCAGCAGCGGAAGAGCCTGGCCACGGCCATCTCATTACTTGAAGCGATTCCTCGGGAGTGTACAGTGACTCCACCGGGCCGCACTCAGCTGACGAACTCTGAGCTTGAAGAGGAGTTTGATGAAAAGAGAGATCCCTTCAATCCTTCCCGTCCCTTGCACAGCCTTCTTCTTTATGGTATTGGTGTCCATCATGCTGGCTTGCCCGCGGTCTATCGGCAGGCGGTGGAGCGCTTGTTTCGCATGCAGCGCTTGGGTGTCGTGGTGTCGACATCCACCTTGGCCCTCGGCATTAACATGCCTTCGAAGACCTCCGTCTTTGCAGGGGACTCCATCTTTCTGAGCCCCATGCAGTTCCAACAGGAGGCTGGGAGGGCGGGCCGGCGCGGCTTTGACCTCCGGGGTCACATCGTGTTCTTCGGCTTGCCGGGCAAGAAGGTCCAGAGGCTTCTGGTCGGCGAGCTGCCAAGGATTGAGGGCAGCATCCCCATGACCGCGTCTTTGACTTTGAGGCTCTTGATGAAAGCTCAGGTGCTGCCACAGGCGGAAGACTCTGTGGCGCGGGCAGTCGGTCGTTTGGCCACTTGCCCCCTCTTCTGCCCATCGCCAAGCATTCCATTCCAACAGGCACACCTCTTCCAGTTTTTCGCCCAGCATGTCTTTGCGGAAGGCTTCCTGGGACCTGCTCGCCAGGCGCCGGCCGGACAATTGTTAACCACAAACATGTTCATCATCTCCCATCTTCTATGGTTGACTTGCGTCCTCGAGTGTACACACCACTGTACGCCATGTGTTCCGCCTCAGGTGACGGACTACGCTGGCTTTGTGGCGCACATCTGGTGGGAGGAGCCAGGGAACTTCGCACTGGTCTCACTTCTCCAGGAGCGAGGCGTCTTGACGGAGTTGTGCCAGGGCCCACGCAAGAATTTGGTGGCAGTGCTCTGCAACTTCTTTCATCGCCGACCCCTTGAGCGATGGCACTTCCGAACGCGTCTCAAGAAGAGGCTCAAGTCCTCCGTGGTAGAGTTGCCTGCTCTGCCTGAGAAGATCACGAGCATCTTGAGGCTTGCCTGATCTGGCGGTTTTTTGTATGTTGAGGCCATATATGTGTGTGACCCAGGTGACATCAAAGATAGTTTGATTGAGTTGTGCATTTCTATAATATCTTCAAAATAAACTCATCATGGACAGTATTTTGGCTCCCGCCCAGGAGGCAGCAAGCCAGGAGGATGCTGCAAGCCGTGATCTGGCAGCTCCAGCGCCTGGTCTCGAGCCTGGAGAACCCCAACTGCGCCCTACCCCTGAGCAAGGTGCAGCCCTGCACCTCCACTCCCTCTAAAGCCTTGAGATCCCCGTTCATGGCACTCTCCGGCCGCAAAGACGACTTCGTGAGCTTGCAGGAGCTTTGCTCCGAGCTGCGTGATGATCTCCACTTAGATCCTGAGATGTTCCCGGTGCTGGAGGTCGCCCCTGATGTGCCAGCCGTGCGGCTCAACGCCTATCTGCTGGATTTCTACCAGCATGGCCAAGTTGATGCGCTGGAGCTCGACAACAGGATCCCGCACACCGAATACTGGAAACTTCTCGAGGACTTCATGTTCTTCCTGAGGGCCCTGTCCTCGGTGGCCAAGCACCGCCAGCAACGGGCCCAGCAACGAGGGGAGGCCATGGAGCTCGGTGAGGAGGTCATCGTGGGCGCTTTCGAAGCGATCAGTACGCAGTTCGAGGCCCACTTTAGGGCTATTCGTAGTAGGCGGCTCTGATCAGATTTTAATCCATCGATTTTTGAAACCAATGCTTTTTGGTGCCCGCCAGAGGCATGTCTGTGGTCTGTGTATAGGGCGAGGTAGCACTGCGGAGCGTCCTGCTAAAATAAGCGCATGGGGCCTTGACATCTCGAGTGAAAACGCTCCTCGATAAAGCGTTCAGCATCCGAACCTGCATAATGATACTTGCTGCTCGTGATGGACTTTCGCTGCTTAAATCGCTTTCGGGCCACCCGTCGTCTAGTTCGCGAGTTAGTAACGTAACGTAGAACGCCACCAATTAAGCAAGTTCGCCAAGCACGGCAAGGAATAGAAGTTCCAGCGTTCCTTCCCGCCTACACCAGGGCTCAGGCCAGCTTTCCCAGGCTTTCCCTAAACCCATAGGAGGCAGCTGAGACCGGCGCAAAATGCAAAGAAGTGAGAGGACGGTCTGCCAGAGTGGAAGTCCATAAATGGGTGGTAATTTGGAGTTCGCGCCGCCAAGCCTGCCGTTGGGTTTGGTTTTGTACGACTTGGAGAGACTCGATCAGTTCGTCGTCTGAAGGCATCAATGTTGAGGTTAGGTGCCATGGGGTTCTCAATTTCTCTCGCAGGTTCAGGGTTCTGAGTGTAGAGTGTGCGGCCCTTGGTTAGGACAAGCTCGTTTCGCAGATCATTCAGTGAAACGGTTGTCCTCAAACGAAACACGGCTTGCACAAATACGACGTGCCGCCGCACGACTCAGTACGTATCTCAAGAGTCTCCCGGGATCCTTATACGTCCCGACAAGCTGCACAAAACCCTTACAGACAACCTACAAACGAGTCCGAAGCTGGGTCGTTTCAGTATCCAGTGATCCAATGGCTCCCGCAACGCTGTTTAGATAGCTAGCGTCAGAAATACAAGCCCGAACCGTGCCCCGGATTTGAAACCTCTTCTATCGCGAGTGCTCGCACCCTGCTGGCACGTGCCGGTGCTACTGCTGGTCAAAGTCGTCGTTGTAGTAGTGGTAGGGATGGTGGTGGTATCGCAACATAATGAAGTTTTAAGAAGGTAAAACAAAAGTAAAATAAAGGCAGAGGGAAAAGGTAAAGACAAGCTGACCTCTTCGGAAGAAGGTAAAGTAAAGGTACAGGGAAAAGGTAGAAGGAAGGTGCGTTATGAGGAGAAGGCAATATACAGGTACGGTATAGGCCGTAGTATAGGCAGGAAGTAGAAAGGAGGTGTTAATTTTAAGAAGGTCAAAGTAAGTACGGAATGAAGATATGTCTTTAAGACACGGATATGCACATTTTCAGATAGGTAGAGAGAGAACTTTGAGCAAGTTTTGCAGGATGTCGACTTGGCATGCAGACGCGTGCTCTGGCAATGTTTCGAATTGAAAAGCAGATCAACAGGTTTCCGGGGGCGTCGCGGTTAAACTGTTGAATATCACCTTGAACCGCCCACCTGTGATGCGAAGACCGCATAGGTTTTGTTGCGCTGTATGCCCGTGCCGACCCCGTACCATGGACAAATGCGTCCTTAGATGGTAATCGTGGCTTGAGCCGCCCAAACGCTCAGAGCAGAGTACTGTCCGACGTCTTTGGCTCAGGGCTTAGGCATGCAGGTTTGTAAAGAGAAGGTGCATGGAAGTCGCGACAAAGCTTGCAGGCATGCCAGAACCCGTTTGGATTCGGATTCGTTTGTTCAGCATGTCTTGACACTTACAGCTTGCAGATAGGAAGGGTGGCCGTCTGAAGTTGGAAGTCAAGCTATGGCGCGGTCACACCAAGAACGAGTGTGGAGAGGTTCTTTGATGCTGGCAGCCTGGGGCTCGCGAATGGGAGTTTCGCTTATAGCAATCCAAAACAAATGCGTGACGGTCTTTGGTGTCGGCATTGGCTTGCTCTGCAAATTAGCTGGAAAACCAATCAGAGCTGCCGTTGTTATCGGTGCATTAACACAGCGTGAGGAGGACAAGTGCAGCCGATCAGCAATGCTACAGTGTTGCCGCTGCCAATGCAATAACGACATAAATGACATATGACGACGATGACGGCGATGGAACAGCCGTAGTAACAGTATGGTAGCCGTAGTTTCAATGGTTGTCGTCGTCGCTGTCTTCTCCGTCACAGTCGTAGAAGGCGGAGTCGCTGCAGTAACGGGTGGCTGTCCTCATTGATCATGGCACTGCTGGTGTGGACGGTGCGGAAGAAGGACACTCATCACATGTTACCATGGTCCTAAAGATATCCCGACCAACATCACCCTGGCTACGAATCACGAAGTCATGCAAGCCGTGGTCGTAACAGCAAATTAAATTGCTTGGCAGATTCGAAGGTCATCGTCGGAGCAGAAGTTTGAGATAAAGTAGTCAGCAATACCAGCGAACGTACTGGCGTCTCTACAGCTGCTTCTTACACTCAATATGCTTTCTGGAAGTGTAGACGCTTCCCGAGGGCTCCTTGCTGGTGGCAACCCAACTCAGTCCGAGTGCTGTCTTCGCCCAGCAGCGTACTTAGACACGATATGAGGGTGTTGCATTCCAGCAGCTTTTAGCAGTGACATCTTGCAAGTCTTCTTAGACTGAAGCATCAACGTGCAAGAAGTGCGACGACTTTAGCTGACACACCATCCCGATCATGTCTTGAGTTCAGCATGGCCTGAGTTGCCGTCGACTTGTGCATCGCACATCTGGCATCGCTAGCCGAAGGCCGTCGTGGGTGTGAATTGCTCTTTTTTGTGTGCCGACTGGTACAGGCAAGGACGTGAGCAGCAGTATCTCGGCATGTCCTGATCGCGATCTCTGAAGGGATGACAATTTTCCCTGAGCAGCTAGGAGTTACTGGTAGGACAAAGCCTGTGATTCTTGTGTCGGCTTCTTGGAGGCTTGCCATGGGCAAACGAGCGTGGTCGCCTGAGCATCACGTGCTTGCTTCCAACAGATTCCAACATACATGCTTGTCCTTCTGCATCTTCGTACTTCTCATTGCTGAACCTTTCGTTGGCGTGCCAACTCTCGGAAGATTTGCAGGACGTGTACGGCATATGTCCAACCAGAGCTTTGTAGGACTTTACGTAGAAAACCACCGGTACCCCTGTATCACAACGGTCCGTCAGAATATGTCAGCATGCGACGGATCAAGGGCCTCTGCCATTATCGCGGTTCTCACGTAGAAAACCACCGGTACCCCTGTATCACAACGGTCCGTCAGAATATGTCAGCATGCGACGGATCAAGGGCCTCTGCCATTATCGCGGTTCTCCAGTTGCATGCTGCACAGTGAGCCGCAGCAAGAACCTTGATTTGAACAATTCCGAACTACATGCAAAGTTTAGAGCTCCAGGTCCAAAGCCGACGCAAGCGTGGCGCAGGCGTTCGCTTTCTGTGGTGTATTGCTCAATAGCAGGATCTGTTTTTCCATCCCCCTGACTCAGCTGAGGAGTTTAATAACTTATAACTGTTATTAGCCTAAAGCAGATGTTTGGCATGTGTTGCTTAGACGGACAGACATGCCTGGTGCGAACAGTTTGAGGGCTATACTCTCCGCGGCCAGCATGCGTGACCCACGTGCTGTGCATGTCGCAAGTCGCGAGAGTCAGCGAAGCTTCGTGGTGGTGGATCCGTCCGTTTTTCTGCTATACGGCTTCGCAGCCCTTTTTCCTCGGCATTCAGAGGCCGGCCTACAGGATTTCGCTTCAGCCGTACAGCCCCGGGCCCAGAGCATATTTGAGCATGTTCTTGCATTTGTGTGCTTTCTAAGCGGCTGCGATGCCTTGAGAAGTCGTCAACTGCGAAGGGAGCAGAAGGCGGGGGGACATTTTCAGAGCCGGGCCGTGGCTCAGGAGGCAGCTCCGAGAGAAGCAGCGCTTGATTCGCACCTTTGACGTCGGCGGCACAGGCGTGAAGACGGTGTCGGCCTCAGGGACTTGTATAGGCCACTTGCGTTTCACGCTGCTATCGATTATCTCTTTCAGATGCTCATTGCGGATGCCGGGCGAGGCCACAGCAACAGCAGCATGACTAGGTCCTACTGTATAGGTGTGTCAATCTGTCCGCCGTCAGGCCAATTAAGGATACTGCACCCGTTACATGAGAGGCCCAGCATACCACTTCCGGTCCAGCTCCCTTGCAAACCTGAACCCGCAAGCGCAGCAGACTTTGGAAAACTATCTCTACGTGGATAAAAAGGGGCCTTGGAGAATCTTGGAGACCTGAAAGTCCGTATTTCAAGTTGGCATTTCGAGCTAGAGATATTCATGTAGTTTCGAGTGCACATATTGACGGAGTTTGCTTCAGGCCATTGTCAGACTTACTTGGCCCGTTTGGTCCAGAGTGCCCGGATAGTAACATGATGATTTCAGGGGGTTCTATTATAAAGCCCAGGTCTTTTCGAAGTCCAGAAGCTGCCTCGAAACCTCCAGTCGAACACGCCCAAGGGCCTTTTCACCGCGACAGCTTTGCAAGCTTTCTTCGAGAGCTCTGCTGCAGGCATGGGGGGTGCCTGGGGATGCTTCTAGCTTTGTTGGCCTTGGGTTGCTCTCATTTTTGAAGCTGGGGTTGCTTCAGGACATATTCAGCCATCGAAAGCCGTGGGGAAGCTGCGAGAGCACAGCTCCAGAGCACAGGACTACAGGACACTGCTTGGCAGCTTCTGTAGAAGTCGACCCAGCTTTGCTTCATACGAAATTATCTGATACGTGCATACGCTCACATATATATATACACACACACGCTTTACTGTACTTATGGGACACATGTTCAGGCCCTCACACCGATGGGCCACATGAAGCTGCAGAGCAGGCGCAGTACTCTTCTGAGCATCCCTGTGCCTGTGTCTGTGTACGTTTGAGGAGGGGGCGGGACAGGCTTTCCTTTGATGATCTTTCTGGCCCTGCCCTGGCAATCTACAAGCAAAGCAGGTAAGACATGTAGAGAACTATAGAGAGAAACCCTTCTTCTAACATGTCGCAGCCAGACGCCAGGGCCCTGTGCAGTATGCAGAGCTCGAGTGGGTGGAGCGGCCCACACAGCTGGGACAGGATTGCAGAGCTCGCCTTCTCGGTAGGTTACATTAGACTTTGCGTGGTGCTGAAATGAACGGCAAGGCTCAGAACAGAATCGGACCATAGACGAAGGACAGATTTTCAATATGGCCTCGTGTCAAACATCATTGTTTTGTCGAGGGCTGGGGCACTTCAGCTTTGATGTTAGCTGACACGAGAGCGCTTTCGTAGACCCGATCCCCCACACACAGACGCCTGGTGAATAGGCCGCAGGAATTGGCTGGAGTTGAAGAAGTAGCCTCGAAACCCCAGAGACCCGAAAGCCTTTACTAGCAGTTCTGTTCCTGAAAGCTGTAACACCGGTTCAGCCGTCCCTGCTAGGCACCAGGAGAGGATGGCTTTGATGCCTGGTTGGAGGTGCCTTCGGCGGGTTTCGGTGTCCGATCGGGCAAGATCTGAGCTGAAAAAAATATGCTTAGAGACGCCGCAGTGGGACTGCAAGCTTGCCTGACATGTTGCCCTTTCTTCTCCGTTCTTCGAGCCACGAGCTCAAAACGCCGGTCCAGATTACATTCTGATCGACTAACCAGCATTGGCCCTGCCGACAGCTATGCGTCAGGAAGCGCTTCCCCGACTTAGGCAGGAGAAGGCGGGTCTCCGATGGGAGTTTCGAGCGTCTGTGTCAACGTGAGGCCGAGGCTCGAGGAGGGCTATAGCAGGTCGCGTGCGCACGTATTGTCGCAGCCGAGCTTCTGGCCCCTTTGTAGGCGACTGCAAATGTCGTCTTTGGCGTCTCCACCGCCGGGGATGTGGAACACCGCACCGGCATACTCCACGTGGGGGCCTTGCCATGGCTTGGCAGGCTGAGAAACTCGTGCCCACTTCTTTGCAGCCTAGGCTCTGAGGTCTTCCAGAGACTCACAATTTCCCAACCCGGACACTTGTAATGTTTGGCCGAAGCCTTGTTACTGCGCAAGAGGCAGTCTTCTGGAAGGGTCTGGGTTTCGGGCTTTGCTCTTTCAAGCGCCCCTAGCCGAAACGCTGTAGCTCCTACGATGCGGCGTCAGAGATACGTAATTAGCCATCAACGGCAGCCTTTCAGACGCCGACCTAGCTTTGCCCTACTATAGGACTGGTGGTCTGCTGGGGGCCATCCACGGCAGTGGGACGACTCCAGGCCGCTTGGGATGAGGAGGGATTTGGGGAAGTGTGGGCGGACACTCTCAAAGTAAGGTTCTCAAGACTTGGGGGGCCGGGCTTGCTGCGCGCTTTCCCCACGTGGCGTAAGGCTGTATGTAAGGTTTCAGCATGGACGGGTTCTTGACGCTGGGTTTCAAGGGACGTAAACAGTCCATGAAAGGCCCAGTGGTGTGGTTGCAAAGCCCCTCTGTGGCTCAAAGATCCTCAAGGACATTCAAGGACTGTGAACCCCACAAAGCAATCCTTCAGAACTCGAGACAATACAGTCGAAGGGGGCATCGATGGCAGGCCTGATCCCCATGTGGCGGATCTTATGGGTCTTCCCAGCCGGAAGCCCAGCAAAGGGAATCTTCCTTGGTGTCGGACCCAGATTGACCACAGTGGCTTTGTTTGAGATCTGTCCTGAGCATCTGCTTCTTCCAACTGAAGGCAGCTGTCCGTATCTTTCCCCCAACCTGTCAGCCGAATATCAATCAAAGTTGCGATTCGGCTCGCCTGTATCCATCATATTTGGGCTGCTACGCATGCCCAGTAGCTGAAACGAAGGAGACCGGACATTCATTCTCCACGACGGCGCAGCCCACTTGCCGCTTTGCTCACAGACTGAGCTGGGGTTTTGGAGAGTCGGAGTCGTGACTCATGTTGCAGACAGGGGACACCGTGGTTCAGGTCTGTTGAAGCATGGCGTTATGGTTTGCATGCTGGCCCAGGCTGGGCTGCAGCCGGCAGATTGTACCCATACCTCGGCTGGCTTGCCTTTCTGCCGGCTGCCCGATGGTGCATGGGGTCGGGGTCGAATGTCAGACGCCTTCAAAGTCTTCCTCAGCATGGCAATGGGCTTATAATATAGAGGTGGTCAGTCGATGCGTAGGAACCAAGCCAAGTGGGAACATGTGTTGTAAGCCGACTTTTGCACTCTCGTCAGCATCTTGTTCGTAATTATTTTGTACATGGCATTCACATTGTTAGATACATGTTTTATGCACATGCTGTAGTCCAAAAAAGGCGAATTCAGATAATTAGCAGCTATCATGTCCGCAGCGTCTTACAATTTTGAGTGAATGCTACCGGGGGTTCTTTTATTAATCGCTGGAGCTGCCGAGTTTCAAGGTGGAGGCTGGTATAGCGTGCGCAGAGGAAGCTTCGCGACAGATCAACCGCGCATGGCGCTGGAAACCCCAGAGATTCGTGCACGTGCTTCTCGCATTGAGCTGAAAGGCTATGAAGATTTAAGATGAAACACTCCACCTCCAAGAGCTTGTGGATGATACCAAACGGCTGCATATTCGTCAGAGATAAAGTCTGGAACTGTTTCGGCACGAAGTCTTGCGTGCATTGTAGTCCTCAGGACGATAGTGACTTCGGACAGAACAGCGGTGGGTGCCGAAGTTTTCTGACCGCGCGTTGCCCGCGCGCGTCGGTACTGTGCCAACAACGAATCTTCTCTGAGTTTAACTTCGAGCCCAGTGCAAGCCCCAAACCAGCAGAGGACTCAGACTTAGACTTCACCAAGGTTGGGACCGGTGTTGGTTTCGGCATCTCCGACGAGGCACACGGATGCTTCCGGGCTGCAGTGCTTGCAACTTCGTATTGGGTAAGGCTCGACAGCTGCTCGACACACTAGGCTTTCGAACTGATTTGGTCTCATGCTGCTTGCAGTCTTGCAGTATTTTGCCTTGCGCTCGGGAGTTAGGGCGAGGAAGAGAAGAGCATGGAAGCACATAGGAGAAGGCAGGATTGCAGGATGCTGCTCCATGATGCTCCATGTATATGCAGTACCTGTAGGTCTCCTTCCATGCAACAGGACGGCGCAATTCTGGATCCGTTCTCCCCGGCAGGACGGGAGTCGATCAGTCACAGCAGCAGCAAGACGAAAATCACCATGGCAAAGTCAATCAGACCTTGGATTGACAGAAGCCCTTGCATTCGGACATGACATGCACAACAGAACCTGGATTTTCGAATCTGCAGGCCGTGAAACAACTTAAAACCTGCAGATTCTTGTAGCTTGAAACCTCAATGCTCGTCAAGCACTAGTCTGCGTTTCTTCCTTGGTGCAAGACTGGTACTCGTTGTGCTCCGAGTTCAGGCTTGAACACAGGCATTAAGGGGCGATGCGGCTGGCCAGCGAGAATGACATTGTCAGTTGTGCTGCGAGCAGCTGGAGCATTGCAGGGTGTTTCTCAGATGCTCCTGGGGTTAAGGGATCCCACATACTGTGGTTTTCTGCAACCCCAACCGCAGCGCGCACAGTGATTCTGGCATCATTCTCCATGCACCAGGATCGCGAAGTCACTTGCTGAATGGTGTCCCACTCTCAGGTGCACCGTGGGGGCCCCAGTGTGTGGGGCTTTCGGCTATGCATTGCAGCAGGGCAGTGCATGTAGGGAAGCTAGCAGCTAGCGGTTCTCGCCTTCCTACTAGTGCTACTCAAGGCGGTTTGTATGTTTTGGAAGGTATCGGGGCATTTGGCGAAGCTGTGTGGAAGAAACAGATCACGTTGACGATGTCGAGAAGGCCCAAGCCTCAGATGCATGATGCCCGCTGCTCGGTCAAGGGGCGGCGTGCCGCACCGAGAGCTGGCTGCCCAGCGGCCGAAGTTGTGGCACCACGTGGGACTTCGAAGCTTTCAGTGGAAGTTGGAGCAAAGTTTAGGTCATGGTCAGGGAGTTCGCGGGCATGGGACGGCCATGGAACATGCCGTGGGCCGGGAACCCATCTCAGACCGTCTGTTGGGCTTCAAGGCTTGTCGTCACAAGAATAATTGGAAAGCGCAAGAAAGCAAAGATCAAGGTAATCTAACTTAACGTAAGCGTACTGTGAGGAAGATGACGACCTGCAAGACTTTGGATTCAGGCCTTCGAGGGTGAAAGGTGCAGGGCCACGACGAGTAGGAACCATGTTGGCATTATGATCTGCGAGATGTGGGAGAGAACTGGCGACAGCTCTGCTGTTCTCCCCTTGAAGGTGAATCGAAGGAGAATTTGTTGAGTTGCACGAGAATCCGGGGTCATTTTCTAAGGAAGACTTTTCCGAAGCCCAAGTCTTGGCTGACAGGCTTGGGGTGATCTCAAGGTGACTCAAGGTGTAACCCAGGGCAAAGTGCAGTTGTGTTGCATCCCATGCCTGACAAGTCGGTGTGGAGGTAAGCGAATGGGGGGTGCGTTGCCGGTAGAAGAGGTTAGTGGAATCTCGGGTGACCGGCTCTTTGACCCGGTTGTCCGACTCATGCAGCTTTACATGGATGATCCCAGTGTAAGAGTTGGTACATATCAGATGGCGGATCTCCTAAACCCCTAAACCCTCAACAGGTGAGCCTGGTGTTGGGCCGACGGGGCATGGAGCTAGCAGAAGCAGCTTTCGGCACACCTGACAAGTCTTGGCAGGACTCAGTTTTGGGCTCCGCAGGATCTTTTGGTTAGGGTGCAATGTGGCGCAGTTTGTGTCTCTGGCTACATGAACCTGGAGCCTTGTATTCCTTGCAGGCACTTCGAAGCAAAAGCCGCATAGCTTTATCACCCAGTCGTGGATCTGTATGTGGTCTTACTAAGCACGACACACCCCGATACTTGAAGCATCCGGCGCTGAACGACAGGCTGCCAGCCTCCTAAACCTCTTGAAGAGGAGGCTGACGAAGGCCCAATCTCAGGGTGCACAGGCAGGTCAGTCACCCTGGTAAGGCATTTCCAATCGGCTGACGAGGTGTTACCAGTCGGTGCTGTTGTTAGGCGTATTACAAAAAGTAAGCGCTAGTGGAGTCTGAAACGGACGTCACAGGCCGACAGGTCGCGCCGGCCAACGATGCTGAGTTTGGGCCCAATCCAGCGGATCTTGGATGTTTCGAGGGTGGACTTGGTGAATCGGGTACTGTTGTGTGTGTGTGTGTGTAGAGTCTGGAATCTAGTGAAAAGAGTGGCGTGTGGTTTTGGAGTTTGGCACGCAGTGCTGTACATCGCTTTCGCTGCCAGCTTAAGCATGCTCATTGCAGAGGGCGTTCCTATTTTGGCGGTTGCCTTCCACTCGGTGCCTCGCAGGCGCAAGCCGGCAAGCACTGCCTATGCGAACCAGTCCTCCGGCTGCATCTAGGTTGTGGAAAGGGTATGCACAACGACTCCTCTATGAACAAAATCGGGGCTGGGTCCCAATGAAGTAAACGGGAGCTTTCTGTGTGTCAGCACGGATACACGGCGTCAGCGTGCAAAAACAGTGTCTGGAAATGCGCGCAATCCGTTCAGAGACACCAGGTAGCAGATTTACCGAATTCGCCCTGCTCTTCACAGATGACAATGACAAAATGCTCACGTGCCGGTCGATTCCGGATGTTTCTGTCAATGTCGAGGTGGCTGCACTTCCTGAACACTCAGTTGGTGTCTCAGATGTAGCAGCCTGGGCGTTGGATGCACCAGAGCTTGACTCTGACGCTTGCTCTTAGTATTGGTGTTACGACGGTAGCAGTCTGTATCATGATGCTCTTAGTGTTGCTGTGGTGAGGTTTCTGTCTTACCCACTGGATTTGGATCAAACGAATTCGTTACCTCACGGGATTGTCCGTGTTGCTTTCGTGCGCCGTCTGTCATGTTATAGGTATGTCATCATAGAGCTCAGGCCTCGCTTTAACCCAGGTTCAGCAAACCCGCACACAAGCTTGAGAGTTAGGTTTGCACGAAAGTTTCGACCCTCGGTGTTCCGGCAGGATGGCGACCTTCCTTTTCCCCAAAAGTCCGAGCCATGTATTGTTCAGGTTTCTCCCGCAATGCTGCACTGGATCGCGAAGACACCGAGCTTGGGGCTTCGTCTGTCTGATGTTTTATGGTGGCTTCTCTACGAGCACCATAAGTACCACAGTTGCAGCTCTAGGAATCTGCATGCTGTCAATCTTCGTTTCTATGTTTGGCTCCTGATTTCCGGCCATGTTTCTCACTCAATGTTTTAATCGGTGTTGTTCGGAGTTGCTGTGCTTCTTGCATGCAGCAACACGTGCCTTTGGAGTTGTTGGACGATTCAGATCCTCGTTCAAACCTGCCTGTGTGCACGCTGTACCTCGCAGATCCTGTTGACTTGGAGCCTCAACAACCGAGAACCCTAGATTGTCTGACCGTTATTTGGTTCAAGTTCAGCCGACTTGCTCGATCCACCAGAATACCTGTCACTGTACCCCGTCACAGAGGCGATCTATCTTCCGAAAGACTGATCACCGCGACCCCCCAAGACGCGCAGTTGAATTTGGGCCCCGCCGCCGAAACCCGGACATGTGGTTGTCAGAAAAGCTGCGAAGTTTCGACGGCGAGGCTGATCATATTTGCTTCGGCGGGCTTGTGGCAGAGACGAACTGGGCATCATTGCAAGAGGCGCGCCTGGCGTTACTTTCTGAGTCTGACGGGGGGGGGTGGGTCAAAGCGTTGAGGCAAGGTCCATGAGAGATGCGCTTTTGTGGAACCCACTTTAGTTTCATGATTGCTGGCAAGATCTATATAGTCTCTGCAAACATCAGGGCGGCATCATCACATGAGCTCAGAACCCGAGTGGTCACCCGAAAGCGGCAGGTGATCGTTGGCCCAGACTCTTGTGCAGCTGGCTCAGCTCATATTTGTGCTCTTTGCACAGATGGCATCAATCGTTGCACCCAGGCGGGTATACACTGGACAGAACACGTATTGGGGGAGAAGCGACAGCGGTCCAGTCAGTAGCCATGAAGCTGTCAGCAAGCTCTCTCTGCACTCTCATCAGCATCTCTTGAACTCTGCAGGGTTCCCAAATTGCACCTGCAGGTTCTACCTCTGCCGGGTATCGACCTCGGCTTGCCAGGTGTTGATATCCTGCCCTTCCATACGAAAACGAATCACACTCACTTGAAAGAAAAAAGTTTCACTTGGGGCTTGCTTGCGGGGGGGGCCCAAAGACGATGAAATCGAAGATGAGTGGTGCTACGATTACCGTCTGGAATGGAAAATCGATGTCACATCTAAATGTCTAAATCAATAAGGACTATATATATATGGGTCTATATGCCTATATATCTACGTGTCTATCCACTTATCTATCTACCATCTATCTTGATATATCTATCTTGATATATCTTTCTAAGTTATCTATCTACCTACCTACCTATCTATCTATTTATCTATCCATCTATCCATCCATCCATCCATCCATCTGTCTATCTGTCTAAAGCTACAGAAACACGTGCCTAGAGGAGTAATAGGTGTGTAGGTTCGGACAGACCAAAGACTGAACAACCGAACATTTGGTTCAAGGAAAACAAGCGTGATTGCATTGCTTGTTACACTTCCTTGTTGGAACACGTGTTTCTCTTGTGTTCTTCTGGTTAACAGCCTCAGCTCAATTGTCGCTGTTCATACGTGTCTCTGGCTAAGTGAGTCTAGAGCCTAAGTGAGTCTATAGCCTCTTCCTGAGCCATAGCTTCCCATATCCGCCGCACTTGGGGGTAGAGCTGGGAATCGCATTGCGTAGGCCGGACTTGAATTGTTAGCTCCCTGAGTGGGCTAGAGCCCGAGAGCCAAGCCTCCAGGTAGAGCATTCCTTGTTCACAACGTATCTCGATAATTGGATCCGATTCATCAAGGCTTTGCGTGAGAAACAACTTACCCACATCTTAATCCATGAACCATTGAATCTGTGGACTCGGCTTTTGCGAGTCTTGAGGACCAGATTCAATCGACAAGCCATGTTGAGAGTGATTGAGTTGCTAATGTTTCGAAGGTGGTTGGCTTTGAGGCACGTCAGCCCAGTTCCTTGGTTTCCATTCTAATTTGAGACCACAAACTCCACCGTAAGTTGTGTATGCCCACTGCAGAAGGACCAAGGATATCTTACTACTTTTGAGGCATTGCACGATTGGATTCATCAACTTGTATTACAGCATCAGGATTTGGGTACTTGAAACGTTCTTCCCCACTCGCAGAATGTGGAAATAGGACAAGAACACGTTGGAGAAGGTTTGTTCGCAGGTCCATTGACTCGTGGTGTCGCACATCCTTCTCATTGTACCAACTACATCAAACCAAATAAGTGGCACCGTAGACCTGTGCTAACCAGCCTCTGTATCGCACGACGACGAGCCAAGCCTTCCTTTCACGAGCAAATCCACGTCAGGTGTCCTCATCTGCGTTGAAGAAGGACCTTCTCGGTTCCGTGTCTTCTGCTCATGTCGTAAGCAGTCTTCCGTAGCGCGCCCAACCCCTGCGGCAGAAGCGATGGCCATGAGTACTGCGATGTTTTTCCGAAGCAATAAACATCCAGTCATTCTTGCAGTACCTGTTGCGTTACTGTTGCAAGACAACGTACGATCAGGACAACGAAATGTTGTTCACAGTTCTCGTTAGCGGTTATAGCGCAAAGCTAAGACATTGTGGTAGTGTGCGCCGCATAAGCATTGTCTCGATGTCAGAGCAGATAGATGATGACCTTGTTGTCGCGACGTACTGTCCCACAAAAAAGCATAGCAAACTGACTCACTAAGGTAATAAACCCTTGCGAATGGCCCGAGATGCCTGTTCAACAAAAGCTTAAGCTAGTCCCCAAAGAAGACAAAGGCTTTGATCAGCTTGGCTGATAGTGTTGCACGGGCTGGTTCGCTTGCCTCAACACATAAAGTTAACAAGCAACACGTGGCACAACTGCTATCCTATCTGCCACGAGAGACGTCTTCAAGAGCAGATGCTGCAAGTCACGTGCATTCTTTTGCATCTGGTGCCTTCGATCACGGAGGAGTCGTAGGTGTAAAACAGTTTGACGGGAATGTTCCCAAAGTCGATTGCTGTAATCATTAATAAGTTCTTTGCACAGCTAGTGCCTTCACATATAGTTTCACAACGGTACTGCTTCAGGAAGGTGTCATGCAACCTTTGCACACGGATTCACACAACGCACCGGACTTTAAGAATCTACTTGTGAGTCCGACCCCGTGTGCAGATGCGATCTTATGGGTTGAGGAAGTTTAGGAACTAAGCTAGACTGGCCGTGGACAGATGTAGATGTACATATAATGATCTGTGCAGGCCGAAGCTTCGGACATGTCCTAAAGGAGGGAGGGCTAAAGAAACACGTACCCCGAACATGTTCCCTCGTTCGGACAGGCCAAAGACTGAACAACCGGTAACCGAACACCTGGCTCAAAAAAACAAGCATGATTGCATTGCTTGTGAACATTCCTTGTTAGAACACTCGTTTCTGTTGTGTTCTTCTTCTATCTATCAGTCTACCTTTAATGTCTATTTATCTGTGTATCTCTCGATCTATCTACCTAATTTTGGCACGCGGTGCTAGCTTTGGCAGATGTCAGCGTAGCATTGCCTGCATGAGGAACCACAGAGGTGCCTACCGGAAATGCCAAGCTGAATGCTCAGCTGCTGCTGGAGTTATCTGGGTCATTAAAACAGGATTCCAGACCTGTTGTGCATCGGGAAAATGCCAGTCAGGATACGTACAGTGTTATGGTCAGGATTTCTGGTGAGACAAGGAATCAAGACCACAAATCGTGTTCCAGAATTAGGCGTGGCAGGACCGCCAAGACCGCGGTTCGAGACTGAGTGGGTATTTAGCGCAAAGACAGTCCGGGTGCGGAGTTTGGGATGTGCATCTTGGAGGCTTTCGGGTTTACAGGCTTCCAGTGCTGCGTGATCTGCGAGGTCTGCCAGGATCCAGGGGTGCACAGAACTGTGTTGCGGACCCACCTTCAGGACTCGTTGATTATAGTCGTGGTCGCACTGTAATATGAGATGCTTGAGCTTGCCTATTGACTGAACTCGGCCAACGAATTTTCATGATCAGGCTGCAACGAAACCGCAAGCCGTGCGGGTGATCCCCCTGCCTGGGCGCTAGCGTTGGGCGTTTCAGGGTTTCGCAGCTACGGCTGCTTGCGTTTGACGACATGCGAATTGGTACATAAAGAGCTCTGGCTCCAAAGCACACCTGCAAGCTATAGGTGCACAGGAACTCCACGTGATTCTAGATTAATAGATCATTGGTGGTGAGGATTAGTTTGGAGCCTGAGATCTCGAGGCTTGTCGGGTGTCAACACTCACTACTCGAACTCCGGCTGCTCATAGTCTACAATCTACAGCTTCACGAGGGTGTACGGCTGGTTTCGAACCATCTCTGCCACCAGCTAGTGGTGAAGCATTGTTGGGGCCCACAATTTCAGGTACTGCCCCCGGCGCCCCACGGTTCGGGGCTCATAGGCGCGGGACTCTACGCTTTGGCGGGCCTCGGACGCATCTTGCTGGCACTGGTGCTGGTCATATTAACTGTCTTCAGGACGCACGCGGGAAAGTAGTCATCTGGAACTTTTTTTCTCTCCTTTACAGGGAACTACTACTACTACTACTACTACGACTACTTCTT